TGTTTCCTTCCCCCTCTCTATAGCGTCCTGGCTGGCTGGCTGGGGTTGCCCTTGCCCAGGGGGTTCCCCTTGCCAGGTGTCCCAGGGGTGAGATGGGCAAAAACATCACTGGGCCTGTGTGTCCCTTTCCCTTTCCCATCCTGCCTGATGCTGTGCCAGGGCAGTGGTGTTGGTGCAGAGGATGGCAGTGTTCCAGACTCTCTTTGCCCTTCACCCCACCAGCAAGCCATGGCTCATGGCTGCTGTTTGCTGTGGCTTCTGCCTTGTGCTGGGGCAGATGGCTGCCACAGGCTCCACTGTGCTGTTTGGGGCTGGGAGAAAGGGGTGCTGCTCCCTGGTGACAGCTGTGCTGTGCTAAGGGGGCACTGACCGCTGCTTTCCTGCAGGTCGCTGGTATGTGCAGCCCCTCACCTACCGCCTGGAGGGCCAGCCCGAGGCCGAGCACCTCCTCAGAGCCACTGTGGTCTACCTGCCCAGTCTGTCACTGGCCCATGGTCGCCTTCTCTGCGCTCTGGAGCTGGTGGCAGCCGGCGAGGCACCTGGGGTGCTGCTCAGCCCTGCCGCCCGTCCCCGCCATGGCTGGGCTGAAGTTGACGTCACCCCGTACCTGGTCCTGGGGAACAGCAGCACGGGGAGCCTGGCACTGCGGCATGTCTGTGTGCATGCTGGCCGAGCAGGAGGCCACGATGCCCCAGTGTCCCCCAGTCACCCTTTCCTCCTGCTCTACCTTAACGACACCCAGGCAGGGTTGGCACCTCTGGCAGCAGAGCCCCACCGGCACCGGCGTGACACAGGGACGTTGGCTCATGACCTGCCCAACTACCTGCGGGAGCAGGGAGAGGAGAAGAGTGACTGTTCCCTGCGCCCCTTCTCTGTCAGCTTTGCACAGCTGGGCTGGGACCACTGGATCATCGCTCCCCACCGCTACAACCCGCGCTACTGCAAGGGCGCCTGTCCCCACCTACTCCGCTACGACTACCACGCGCCCAACCATGCCGTTGTGCAGAGCTTTGTTCATCAGCTGGTGGATGCCAGCGTGCCCCGGCCCTCCTGTGTGCCCTACCGCTACAGCCCCATCAGTGTCCTCATGATCGAGCGCAACGGAGGCATCCTTTACAAGGAGTATGAGAACATGATCGCAGAGTCCTGCACCTGCCGGTAATTCCCACTGCCCCGGCGCAGCACCCCTGGGCTCTGCCTGTTCCTGTGGATCTGGACTTTAAGGTTTATCTTGCTCTGCCTGGGGCTCACTCTGCTCGTCTCCCCTCCCCGTGCAGCGCTGCTCTGTTGGGGAGGTTTTACAATGACAGTTTTATGTAAATTGTGGGTTTTTAAAGGCAGGAGCCTGTGCTGGGGTGGTTGCCCCGTGGCATCTGTCCTTCCTGCAGCCCCCATGGCTGCTGCCTGGTTTTGGTGGGCAGGGGGGCTTGGCCTGATATTCCCAGAGATGAGCTATGTCCCTAAACTGGAGTACGAAGCTCACAGGAGGTGGCTGGGAGTCTCCTGGTGGAGCCAGAGCAGGGAGGGCGAGCAGTCCACGTGTCTCTGTGCTTGGCACCACATCGGTGCTGTCGGGATCTGATGTGACCCTGCCTGGGGAATTCCTTCCCAGCTCACATGCACCCCATCTTGTCTGGTCTCAGCTGCAGTGGCATCTCACTGGGCTGGGAATTTGGGCTGGAGAGGGGGAGGAAGCCTTTCTCCTCCCCTGCAGTTCTGTTCTGGGGAGGGCTGTGAAATTGGAGGAACTCGAGCTGCCTTTTTTGCTCCCAGTGCTAGGGGTCAGGCAGCTGCCTGTGCTGGGCTCTGCCTCCTGCTTCCTCCAACACACTTGTCCTTCAGCTCCTTGGCTTGCCCTCTAGCAGGGCTCAGGTCTTGCCCTATCCCAGGGGTCAGACTCCCATCGTGGCGTCCCTCTGCCTTCTCGCACTCCTGCTGTCCTGCAGGCCTTGGGCTCTGTTGGGCTCTTGGCATGTCCCTGTTCCCAGAAGGGTCTGTCCTGCTCTCAGCACCCCCACTGCCTGACTTTCCTCTATTTATTGCTTGACTGTGAATAAATAAATTGATGGATTTTGCTAAAGACCATCTTGGCTTGTTCTTGCATTGTCCCTTGGATACAGCAGGTGCCTCCTGGGACAGGCTGTCCTTGTGCTTGCACTACAGGGGGTGGGTGCAGGGGTAAATCCCAGCTGGTTCAAGCTGGAGATCTGAGAAGTGGTTCCCCTGGAGCACAGAAGGCAGGGCAGAAGGGACCAGATGTGGCTGCAGGCAGTTGCCTCCATGGGGCTGGGAACAAGAGATGCCCACGTCCCCCTGTATGGGGCAAGTCCTGGGGGACTTGGATGGGGGGGTGGGGGGACAATGAGCTGCCTCTCCCTGGGCTGTCTGTCACTGTGGCCAAAGCATTTGTCTGCCAGGGCTATTTTGGGAAGGTGTCTGCAGGCAAACCTGCCTGTTGCTGGGTGCGATTCCCTGTGTTTGCAGTTTCCCTTCTTTAGGAAGCAAGGCATAGGTGGCAGCTGTCATCCTTGTCACCAGAGCTTGGTGGCACTGCCACCTACCAGCTGGGTGCTGTCTCTGCATCCTCAGCTCGTGGCTCTTGCCAGGGTCTCTTCTTGCTTGGCATCCAGCCCCATCTGTTATTGCTGGCCCAAGCTCCATGGGGATGTTTCAGCAGGTTTTTTTTTCCTGTGGGTGTTTGCTGTTGGGCAGGGTGCTATCAGCTCAAACCCCTCCCCTTCCCGTCAGCCTCGAAGTTTCTCTCCCATCCTGGCAGAGCAAAAAGCCACAGAGATCCACACTCCTTTCCTCCCCCTTGTCCCCAATTAACTACATCTTAGTCATGGGTGGGGAATATCTTCTGCTTTTTTGGAAGCTCACAGACCTGACCCCAGGGGGATAGATTTCCTCTTGTCAATCATTAAGTGTGTAGTGTTGAATCATTCAGGCAAAGTGAGGATGAAAGGCATGGAGCTGGGCATGATCCCAACCCTGGACAGCCCCGGATACCAGTGCCCGGTGCTGCCCCTGCCTGGACCCCATACCCTTGCCTGCTGCCAGGCCCCCTTGGACCTGCTGGGCACATGGAGATGGATGAGCACTGGAGTTTGTCTGTCCCAGCCCTGTGCCCTCGGATGCACTGTGCCAATGGGATCTTGTGCCTGTTGGGCTGGGCCCTTTCTCCAGGTACCCCTGGGTGCCCAGGGGCTGCCCCAGCAGTGGGATCTCCTCCGTGCTGGTGGTGGGGCAGGTGCTGTCACAGGGATGGAGGAGCAGCAGTTCAGGAAAGAGCCACTGCCCCCAGCTGACCCTTGCACTGTGCCCATGACAGTGCCAGGGCTGCCTGGGCAGAGGCGGGTGGAGGGTGCAGGGACCCTGGCCTGCTATCCTGGTGCACCTTTCAGGGGGAATCTTCCCGCGAATCCCACAGCCATATGAGCCCCTTGGACACAGCCTGGCATCCCATCAATGCCAGACCTGTGGGAAGCATCAGGAGTCCTGGCTTCAGGGACGCACCCAACCCACCCCCAGGCAGGGGTCTTGCCTGTGGAGCTGCTGCCTGCACAGGGGCCTGCAGTGGCCCCTTGCTCTCCTCCAGGCTAGCCAATATATCCCTGTCCCCTTCTTCTCTGATCACAGCTCTTTCCCTTACCCCAAACCCCACGCTGGCACTCTGCTCTGTTTCCACAGGGTCCCCATTCACTATTCCTCCTGCTGCCCCTCCCAAGTGGGCACGACCACCTCACACCTCTCATCCTCTGGGCTGACACTGGACAGAGAGGGGACCTGCCCCACGTGCTCTTGCAGGGCTGAGGCAAATCTGGGCCAGGCACAGCAAGGTGGCACCAGGATGGAGCTCCCCCAGCTGTGGAGAGCAGCTGCCCCCCAGGAACCCTGCTGGGGGCTGTAGCTGGAGGCAAACAGTGATGCCCAGGCTCCAGACACCCCATGGGTACCCCGCAGAGCTGCTGGCAGCCCCCAGGTGGGGTGGGGGGTAACAAGGGACTGTGTCTCCATCCATGTGTCCTGCACCGGTGTGTGTGTCTGTCTGGGTGTCTGTGCAGTTCCACACTGGTCTATGTGTCCATTCCACACTGGCACACATGTCCGTGGATCCACGTGTCCATGCATCTGTCCATGTATCCATGTGTTTGTGTATCCGCGTGTCTGTGTATCCATGTGCCTG